GGGAGTTTCAAATGCTTATTTAATTATCTACTAATATTTTTCTCCTTGATGAATTGTGGTTTTTCTCCCCAACGGGGAAGGGGGAAGAGGCTACCCCACCCTGATGCCAACACTGATCTATAACACCGAGTACACAATCTTAAAATACAATTGTTTATTTGGATGGAGCTTAGTCAGGTTTCTTTCTCGGAATCTTTGTCGTACAGGTACAACCAAAGTACTGATGGCTTCCAATTCCAGGATTACTTCACAAGCCTCATTATCAATTTATTGCATATCAATTGATTTGAATGTATTATTAATGTTGGCTAATAACTGAAATTTGCATTTTATCTTATAGGTTTCTGAGGTACATATAGAGAAATCACTGGAAATTTTAAAAAGCAAAGAGAGTCATCCTTAATTGAATTACCTGATTTGCCAACCACCAGGTCGCACCGACGCATGCACAATCCAGATGTTTCTATCCAACATACGATTGCAAAGCTCATCTGTATTTACCATCCCTGTGTCTTTTAGAAGTGTTTCTACAAAAGTGGTTTTCTTCCTACCTCTTATATCCATCCAGCGGTGAACCACTGAAGTATATTTTAAATGATTTTCCCTGTGCTGTCCTCTCGTCTTCAGGATACATCACCACTGCTTCTGTTGCTATATTATATTATTCATATTATACCCCTTTTACACTGTCAGCGGGACTCTGGAATAAACCCCCTTTTACAGTACTTCCCCGTTGTTGAAACGGGTTTCAAACACCGGAGTTATGGTGAGTGTAAATGGATGAAGGTCAACAACTCTGGTGTGCTGAACCCGAGTTCAACAAAGGTGAATGTTTTGAGAAGCTTCTAAGGAGTAGCCCCGTTGACATCGGAACACATCAGTGTAAACAATCCCCGACTTTTACAAACCGGGATTTTAACCATCCACTTAATTAAAATTATTCTTTTTTTTTTTTTAAATAATATAACTATTTGTATATTTTGAGAGTACTGTATTTAGTTAAAAATAATAAACATAATGTAAGTTATATTTTTGTTTAAAAATTAATTCGTTTTTTAGTGTTCAAATAAATTATGTTTTCCTCCTGCGATACTAAACTTGATTGCAGACTAATGAGCTAGTTTTTTTTTTTTTTTTTTCAAGAATGTCCATAGAGGACAGTGTTCAACACCGGTGTTCGTTGTCAAGTGTAAATAGGTGCAACCCGAGATCATCCCGCAGTTTCTTTGTTAAGTGTCAATGGGTTTTGGCTCCAGTGTTACACCAGTGTTTGTTTTGGCTTGATAGTATAAAAGTGGTATTAGACCTACTGTACTACTATGACAGACGTAAAATGCATTTCCGTTATTAGGTCCTCAGATTTCCGTAGTAAATGAACAATTTATCTTCCGGACCTCCTAATGATATAAGCATGGAGTTATAATCATTTGTGGAATTTCAAACAAACGGAACAGGGTTAAGATTTTTGAGCCACTTTTTCTTAGTAATTTATTAGTAATCCAATAAAGTATGAGTTTTCTAGGGACAATGTAACCAAAGATCCTGATGGAAAAGTCATTTGTTCTTGACTTATAGACCTACAGTATTTAAAATAGGCCTAACTACGGAAGTTCCGTAGTACTTGAGAAGAAATCTCCCATGACTGTGATGGTTACATGTCAAAACCAGACATTTCAAAACAGAGACATTTTGCAACGCAGGTTTCATTTTCATTTGTTTGGTATTTGCCATGTTTCTACATGCAGTGTCATTAACTATTGTGTCTGCAATCTAGCAACAGTGGTAGGCTAATTATTAGATTCATTTATATACAGAATAGATTAGAACAGATCCTTTTCTTCTATCCTTTGTGATAGAAGATTTGGATTGTTGGTACTTTGAAAAAGTGGTGAGGAATTAAAGGGACTCAAATTGGAGGGTGATCTGTATTTTACTACTGTAGTTGCAGAAAAAGAAACTTAAAATATAAGTCCAAGCATTAATTTTCTTGCTTCTACATTTTGATTTATTGTTAAAAAAAAAAAAAAAACCAGAATTGTGCTGATTAGCATGTTACCATAAAAGGTATAAATGAATAATATCTTAACATTAACGTACAACCTATTGAATACCTACTTAAAAATGACGAGTACTACTATATTTTCGAGGGTTTACTGTACTTGTATACACATATAAATGTTAAGATGAAAAGTTCATTGAATATTTTTGTATTGTATTCAAAATATGTTTGCAAGTGTCTTTTTTTTTTCTCCTAAAGCCCTGTCCAGACTATCAAATTTTATTTGACAAAAACAGGAGTCCCAAGTTGGAAGAATTTACTTCCGTAAGATCTGGTTAATTTTGTTTTGCTGCGCATCCACACTGACTTCCGTGAGACAATTATTGAAAGAAAGGGGTAATAAAGTACAAAACATGCAAATTTATTTAATTTGCGGGAAGATGGGTTAGTTTCCGTGAGAAATTTGCTTGCTTGCGGGAGACTGCCCCAATTTTCAGGAGACTCGCGTGACTTGGGTACCCTGTCAAAGAAAACTTGATAATCTGGATTTGTCTAGAAAACTCAGACCACCCGAAAGCAAGGAGATTCAAAATAAACAAATTAATCAGTTAAAGCAATGGACCACACAAACCCACATCACCTAAGAGTACATTATGCCATGATTATGGTGAAATTTTCTTTTGTTCAAATTAAAGAATCTTCAGATTTACTAGATAGAATGTAATACCGTAACTGGATTGGGCCAGGGAAGCCCCTGGAAACATTTTAGGTGTTGTTTAACCCTTTTTACTTATACAGTAATTTGCTGTTTTAGTTCAAACTTCCCTCTGAAAATAATGGTATAACAATTTAAATACCCAAGTTTTCTAAAACTAGAAAACTCAGATCTGAGGATTCTAGATCTGAGTTTTCTAGACACCAAATCTGGATAGCTTTATGCAAAATACACTGCAGTCTCAGAGTCATATAACACAGTATAGTAATTACAAAACTGCAGCACTTCCCCCACGGATAGCTAATATTGATATAAGGTCCAAAAAAATATATACAGTAGTTAACATTAAAAAAAACCAAAAAAACATTTATTTAAAAACAACTGCTAACTCAACTCAACTATTAGTACTGTACTAGTCAATCTAAAATTGGGTTGGGAAGAGACCAGTGTAACACAATCATATACTGTACAGTAGAATTGAAATATTAAAACACAATGCACAGCTAATCAAGATGAAAATTTGTGTTAATACAGTTAAACTTTCCTAAGTCGACTTTCCCTACAGTACCTCAAATAATTTTCAATAATAAATAATAATAATTTTCAAAAAAAAGTCAAACTTATTTTACATGCCAAATTGTTGGGTTTTTCATTAATTAACAATCTATTTAAAGTCAAACAATTTTTCAATGGCATTTTTTATTTGACTTAGGCAAGTTCAACTGTATACATAACTGTAGTAAAATATTCTATAATATAGGTACAGCAAATTCAAAATATAAATAGTATACTTGGATACTGTAGTCTGAGTGATCCGAAATATCATGATGTCTTTTCATTACTATACAGTAGAGCTACCTACTAAAGCATCAGAAGATTGGTGGAAGAAAGAAAGCGAACATGTTTTAAATACTTGCTTGTAAGCATTGCATGGTCCATGTTATACAATATAAATACAATATATATTTAAACCTCACCATGTTTGAAAAATCAAGCCACCAGCAGATTTTGAAAACAGTACTGTATGTCAAATAATTAGCTTGTACTGTATAAATACACTGTAACTCTAAGATTTGGATTTTTGTTTTAACTACAGTAAAAGTGTTTCATACACATCTAAGTCACTCAGTACACTATCCAGCCTATCCATAAGGACCTGGTCCGATACCTTGTACTTCTTATTTTTACCAATCAGCCTTTTCCCTTTATTTTTCTTACTTCGTTTTCTTGGTAACCAGGGGCACTGGAAGGTCATTCTGCGGTTTAATTTTTTCCCCCCAATTTTTATACCATTTTCGTTTTGAGATACTTCAAAAATTGTCTCTAAAAGATTAGGTTTGGTTACTTTAGGACACCGACCACGGTTCAAATACAGTTGTTGAACTTCTGCAGTTGACATTGGTTGTGGTATTTCTAGAGTTTTTTTCTTCTTTTTAGGTACATTTTTTGAAATAACCGGTCTTTTACGTCTGGAAGACAGACGCTTTACAGGCGGGCCTTCTTCGGGATTGCAAGGTAAATCAAGTTCAGAATGAACCCGGACATCCACATCAGGTGGATCAGTGGCAGTAGTAGAAGCTGTTGTAGAAGATGATTCTTCAAATTTACCAATTTCAGATTCTAATACGTTTGGCACATCTACATCAGTAAACACTGGGGCTGTTTCATTATCAGATTTAATTTCACTAGGAACTGTGTATTCACAGACATCAACAAACATGTTCAATCTACCATTGTCAGTTTTTTCAACTTCCTCTTCCACAGTTTGCAATGACTCCTCATCACATGCTTCATCTGTTGGTTCCAAAATAGTTTCATAAGTATTCATTAATAATAAAGGTTTTCCAAAACTTGTTCTCTTGATCTTTCTGAATTTTCTCTGTGAAACTGCATGACATAGAGTTTCCTCTTCTTTAACACTTTTTGAGTTTTTTTCTCTAATGTTGCCAAAATCTTTCAAACCTTCTGATGAATAGCAAGAATCTGTATGTTTCTCTGTAGCTTGTTCAATTACAAGAGGGTTATCTTGTACAGGAATGCCAGCCAAACGTGCAGAACGCCTCCTTGATTTTTTTTGTTCATCTACTAAGAGTTTCTTTGCCCTTCTTTTCTTTGTTCCTCTTTTAGTGTTTGTTTCAGGCACTTCCTTGAAAATGTCCAAGTCGTCTAATCCATTTAACTCACAGAAATAATCAGCATCTAGAGAATAATCAACAGTTTTAGTCTCTTTCGGGATGGAGACGTGTGAAGAAGTACATTGTTTTTGAAAACTACTATCTGCATCAGAAGAGCCTTTAGCATATTTAGGACTAAACGTACTGACTGAAGTACAACCAGTATCAGAAGAGCTTTCAGTTTCTTTAGAACTGAAGCGGTTTGGAGATGTAGAAAAAGGTTCTTGAAATGTATTAACTGTATCAGAAGAGGTTTCAGTCTCCCTTGGACTGACAATGCTCGGAGATGTACAAGATTTTTTTAATTTATTAGAAGCAGGTGAGGTAGTGGCAGGTTCTGTCAAGCCCCTTTTAATTTTTCTAGGACGACCCCTTTTCTTCTTCTGCAGCACTTGTTCATTTTTGTCATTTAAGTCAACTGGCTTCTCCATGCATGTTGATGAAGAACCAACTTCTGTACAATAGTGCATCACTGGACTGGCTTTTTTTCCCTTTGTTTCACCTTTAGTGCTCGTTTCAGTCACTTCCTTAAAAATGTTCAAGTCATCTAATCCATTGAATTCACATAAAATATCAACATCGCGTGAATTATCAACTGTTTTATTCTCATTCGGGATAAAGATGTGTGAAGAAGTACATGATTTTTGAAAACTACTAACTGCATCAGATGAGCCTTTAGCATCTTTAGGACTGAATGTATTGACTGAAGAACAACCAATATCAGGAAAACTTTCAGTTTCTTTAGGACTGAAGAGGTTTGGAGATGTAGAAAGCTCTTGAAATGTATTAACTGTATTAGAAGAGGTTTCATTCTCTTTAGGACTGAAAGCGCTTGAAGATGTACATGTTCTTTTAAATTTATTAGAAGCAGGTGAGGTAGTGGCAGGTTCTGTCAAGCCTCTTTTAATTTTTCTAGGACGACCCCTTTTCTTCTTTTGCAGCACTTGCTCATTTTTGTCATTCAAGTCAACTGGCTTCTCCATGCATGTTGAATAAGAATCAACTTCTGTGTACTGTTGCAACATTGGGCTTGCCAAATCTCTCTGAATACAGTTACCTCCTGAGAGTGAAGACATTTCCTTTAATTGAAGTCTCACTGATTTTCGCCTTCCCTTTCTATTACCATTTTTCTTCTTTCTTTTCTCTGTATTTTCATTAAATAAATGAAACTCTGTGTCCTCTAAGATTATTGTACCCTGTTCAATATTTGTACCTTCATATATACTTTGAGTTGTATTCCAAGATGATAAAATATTTTGCCTTGCTGTTTCACTATCAAGACTCTCAAATGTACCTGTATATTGACCTGTACTTGGACATACTGGTGCTTCAAATTCAACAATGTTTTTACTTTCGCTACATTTAGCAACATAATCATCACTTTTGCTATATCCGTCAACATCATTCTTAACATCTGCCTTGTCATTCAATTGTTGCAAATGAACAGTAATTTCAGTACCACTTGAGCAATTTTCAGAGGAATCAACATTGAACTTTTCTTTGTTCACAATGCACATAAAATGTTTATTTTGATCATAATGTAGGTTATCTGTTACCTTACTACATTCAAGTTCAATTGATTTCTCTGGAGAAAAATTTTCAACAATACGGTCATTTACAGAGTCTACTTCTGAAAGATGTTCATCTGTTGGCATTGGTCTTCTTTCATCAATTTTCTGTATGTCTTTTTCTGAAAGACAACAAGGCAGAACTTCATCACTAAGTCCACCTTTATTATAAAATTTATCAAAGACACCAATGCTAGAAAGACTAAAAACACCGTCTTCAGTATTTTGTGAATCTTCATTTTTTGTATCTACAAAATTAGAAGCTTGGGTAGAGTCTGTCATTACCACACTGCTGACATTGGGTACATTATCTGTTGTGCCTTTTGTAGATTTATGCTCCATACTGCCATTGTCGTTTTCAAGAATGTCAACAACATTTTGTGGAATGACAGAAATTCCTTTCACCATTCCTATGGAGACAACATTTTCAGTCTCTGGAAATTCTGGTATGTGTGAATTTTCTGAACTTTCAATATAATTTTCAGATTCAAAATTCCTCTCAAGACCATCCTTATTATCAGGTTCTAATTTATCCAAGAGACCAATGCTACTAGAAAGACTAACCCCACTGTCTTCAGTATTTTGCGAATCTTCATTTTTTGTCTCCAAAAAATCAGAAGATTGGCTAGAGTCTGTCATCACCACAGTGCTGACATTTGGGACACTAGCTGGTTCTTCTATTGTGCCTTTGGTAAAATTATGCTCCATACTGCCAGTGTCCTTTTCAAGACGGTCAACAAAATTTTGTGGAATGACAGTAATTCCTTTCACCATACCTATGGAGACAATATTTTCAGTCTCTGGAAATTCTGGAATGTGTGAATTTCCTTTACTTTCAATACTGTGTTCAGATTCAAAATTCCTCTTGACATCATCCTTATTTTCAAGTTCTAATTTATTCAAGACACCAATGCTACTAGAAAGATTATGAACACCACTGTCTTCAGTATTTTGCGAATCTTCATTTTTTGCCTTCAAAAAATTAGAAGCTTGGCTGGAGTCTGTCATCACCACACTGCTGACATTTGGCACACTAGCTGGTTCCTCTGATGTGCCTTTTGCAGATTTATGCCCCATATTTTCAGTGTCCTTTTCAAGAATTTCATCAACATTTTGTGGAATGACAGAAAATCCTTCTACCATATCTATGGAGACACCAATATTCTCCGTCTCAGGAAATTTTGATATTTGTGAATTTCCTGTACTTTCACCACAATTTCCAGATTCAAAATTCCTCTCAAGACATTTTCCTGTGTTTTTGCTATAATCAGTTATTGTTTCCTTAGGGTGGACAATTTCAAAAGTACTTTGTGTATTATGTTCAATTGATGGAATATGCTCAATGGCTTTCTCATTTACACCATTATCTTGTTTGCAATCATCATGTGGCTTGAGAAATTGTGGAGACCTGATACCTGCATTATTAATATTTAGTGATTTACAATGTTCTTTACTCTCCAAATCATGATCTGTATGAGTCTCATGACAAATGTTATCACATTCTTGTAGCCTTGTATTCTCTTTAATGTTAGAACTCAATGAACAAGTAGGCCTATCCTCAATATAATCCTCAGAAATTGTGGTAATTTCTAAGGCTTCTGGTTCCTCTGGTACTACAAATAATGGGAACATAGATTCCTGAAAATCAATGCTTTTGGCAGGGTCATCACCTTTGGTATCTGTAGGCAAATCATTTCCACTCCTACAGCTTTCACTTTCAGAATGCAAAATAGTTACTGACATATCACAGTGATCAAACATTTTACTTTCTTCATAGATACTTTTGATTCTTTTACACTTATTTTGTGATTTAATGGAACAGTTATCAGATGTTTTGCATGGTGTTCTAAATACAGCAGATGTTTTAGACCCATAGACAGATCCAAAATCTGTTAGCAGATCTTGATAGTAGGCAGTGGGAGTGGTGAACATCCCTAAGCTTCTTCTCGCAAACTTTGGCTTCAAAATTGATGTTGAAGGTGTATTAAATGCTTTCTCTTTATTAAAGCATTTTGTTGACTTGTTCTCTTTAGCCTCATCTTCTTGAATATCTTCCAGCATCTCTTCTACAATAGTATCATCAATCATCTTTTGTTTTGTGGTTCATTAAACACTGTTAAACATGAAATCTGAAACAAAATTTATAAATGTTAGCTTGAATTGGAAAATAGAACCAGCCAAAGCTTGGATTTGGTGTAAAACTTATAAGTACAGGTCTAGATGTGCAGTTTTTTGGAAATGCAGATTGGAATATGTACAAGAAAACTCATAACTTATTAAAGCCAGATAATAAAAATCAATAAAAACAAAGAATACAAGTGTCACAATTGGATGTAAATTTAAAACCTCTACCCTTGCATAGGTATTATTATTATGATGCATTCATGTTGTTGAATGGAGTGCGTTCGTTGTGCGTTCCTACCCTAGCCAGTACAAAAGAGAAATTTTATTCACAGGAATTTCTATTTCACTTTGTATGTTTGCACAAGGCTCCAAGGTTAGCATAGAAATAGGCCTAGGTTGATATATTGTGTTATCACAAGACTTTTATTAAATTAAATACATTCATTAAGTGCATACATTCAACATCGTCATACATGTAACATGCCAACATTTGAGTGATAAAAATCAGAACAAATTAAGATGTATGTGTTCCCTCATAGATTTTAAGCATTTTAGCGATTTGCGCCAACCGAGGGCTGGGTTTGTTGGGAGAGGGCGGAGGTGTCCCCCTCTCGCAAGGTGGTGGTCTGATTTGGATATGTAACTATTAATTACGAATTTGTAAAATTTAAATTATAGGCTAAATTCTACCATCCATATAAGTAGTGATTAGGCCTAGGTCTAGGCCCCCTACTAGGCCTGGTAGTAGGGCTAGCCTAGGCCGTATAGGCCTAGTAGTAGCTGGTCTAACTAAAAAATTCATTCTTAAATTAGAAGCTGGCCAAAATCAGGAGAACGATTTTCATTCAGTCAGGAGACCAGTCTCAAAATCAGGAGTCTCCTGGGCAAATCAGGAATCTTGCAGATCTATCTAGGTATGTTACAAGTGTGACGTCACACTTTCAATATTTTGGTCACTGTTTCATAGTAGCCTTGCACTTCTGTGTCATGGTGTTGGATTTTAAATAAATCTTTAAAATTGGGTATCTTGATTGGATATCAATTATGTCATTGATATGCAAATTAAAGTTTAAACAACGGTCATGCATTTGTTTTGTGTTCATCCATTGTTTATTTCCGCTGCAGTTGATGTCTGAAATTTATACGCGAATAAAATCCACTTTTGTGCTCAGGAAAGTACCGTATCGTACGCATTTGCCGTAAGTCTTACGAATTCCAATCAAATATTGGTCTTAAACAAACCCCGCCGCCGGCAAAACTGACAAAATTTGAGTAATTTTTTTTTTTTTAACTTGTAATAAATTTTACTATAACGATAACTAAACAATACATCCATCAACACAACATTCTACCTCCATGTGTCAATAACTACTGTATCTGAGATCATTATAAACTCATTGACATTAATCCATGATAGGCCTAGGCCTCTGCCATTTAATCCGACCAGGAGCCCTTGTTGGAGGCTTGGCGGCACCCTGGCCTGGTCCCCAGCCACTGTTCGTGCCTTTTCGGCATCACCCGATCTGACTCTTTGAAATTTCTCAATCAAGGTTGTCTGGTATGGTGTTGGCATGTACAGATATAACTACTTGCTAGCCTATGCTAAGCCCTAGTTAATCGACATAGGCACCAGTTGACTCTCTGTGTTGGACTCGGCGGTCAAGGAGGATATATGCGATGCATTGTGCGAGGCCTAGCCTACATATAGCGCCTGCGGCCTGTGTATGTATGGCTAGGCCGAGGCTAGGCCTAGCCTCGGAGGAGGAAGTATTGACAGGCTGGGCGAAAAAGGTATTAAAAAGTGACATTTAGAGATTCCAGATACATAACAAAATTCAACCTATTACAATGCTACCTCACCTTATATCAGCAATAACTGTAAAACTGATCGTAATCCTAAGTATAATTGTCAGGCGCAGCGAAACAAACCACAGGCATCACTTTTTTCAAATTTACAGCGATGTATGATGGGATAGCTGGGAAGATAGAAAACTGGTTTCTGGACAAAACGGCAAAAAACCAAAACGGCAATAAACCAAAACGGCTATGATATTGTATATTGTGTTCCCCCAATATTTCTTACTATTGAATTTGTATGTTGCATTGTTGTTGTTGTTGTTATTATTATTATTTTTATTATTATTATTATTATTATTATTATTATTATTATTATTATTATTATTATTATTATTATTATTATTATTATTATTATTATTATTATTATTATTATTATTATGAT